GCGGGCCTGGGAAGCCAGGGACCAGACGGGACGCGCCGTGGGGCTGCAGCTCCGTCCCCAGCCCTTGCCTACAAGCGATGCTAGGGAGTGGGGTCCCAGAGCCTGCTGGGCTGGGGACTGAGGCTCTGGGGACAAGTCCACGGCCTGGGCGCAGTCATGCCAGGTGAGTTTGGGGAGAAGCCGATGTGCAGAGAGCAGGAGCAGGCGCGACGGGGAGACGGGTCAGCCCAGGGTCTAGGCGGCCCCCGCACTCCCACTGTGCTCCCCAAGTATAGAAGGCGGGGAGGAGGGGTTGTGAAGGCAGGCGAGGGGGTTGACAGGAGGCATGAACAGCCCCCCCACCCCAGCCTGGCCTTCCCCCAGTCCCTTGTCCATTTTGTCCACCCCCAGACAACCGCAGAGGGACAGGACTGACCCCTCACACATCACTCTCTGGACCCTCCAGTGGGTCACTGGGCAACACGGCCCCTGGGCCCTCCCTGCACATCCTACGGCCCCATCCTGGGCCTAAGAAGGACCAGGGCCCCCTCTCCATCTGTCCGGCATTGGCCCTGCACAAAGCAAGGGGTCCTGACCACCGGCTCCTGCCAGGGGGCCCCTCGGCTTGGCCACCACGCTGTCCTGAGCCCCTGGATGAGGACGAGGAGCCTGCCTGGGGTGGGGGGGCACCTGGCACCTGGACAAGTTGCCCCCCCCATGCACATGTCTGCTCTGCCCACTTCCTGGCCAAGGAAGGAAGCTCCAGCTTGGGGGGGGGGGGGCGTCGAGGGGAGGGCGGGTCGCTGGAGCTCGGAATCTGCTGGTGCTTTCTCCTGCGGCGGGGAGGGCCAGCCGGGCGGTGCCCTCACAGACAGTCCTGGCACAGGGCCACCTGGCCCTTGCGGAAGTCTCGGCAGGGACAGAGCCGGTGGTACTTGGTGCTGGAGCCTGCGCAGCTGAACAGCAGGGGGTCCTTCTGCAGGAAGCACTCGCGGCCGGGCTGGGCGAAGGCCGGGTACAGGTGGCTCATCTCCGACTCGGTACTGTCACAGGGCACCTGCAGCCTGCACGGGCACGGCGGGCAGCGGTCACTGCCCCGGCCTGATTCTGCCCACTCCCCTCCCTAGCCCATTCCACCCCCAAGCGGGGACGATGTTTCTAGAAGGGCAGGAGAGTGGCTGGGTGGGGGCGGCCGCAGGCTGACCCATCAGAAGCCCTGCGCAGCTGAGACAGGACTCCTGTCCAGAAGGTCCCTTCTGTGTCCTTCCTGACTCGCGGGAGGGCTGGGGGCAGGGCAGTGATGGCCTGAGGATCAGCAGGTGAGCTGTGCTGGGCCGGCCACAGAAGGTGGCCACGGTGGGGGGGCTCACTCACTTCTGGAAGGCGTCCCGGCTGTTGAGGAAGGGGAAGAAGGAGGGCTCGCAGATCAGCCCACGGTCCAGGCAGGCGTCGGTGCAGGCCCTCCCAGCAGTGGCCAGCCAGGCCCGGAGGGAGTGTGCTGGGGGCCAGGCCCCGGGGGCCGAGCTGGCGTTCTGGGCCCACTCGAGGTGGGTGGCGTTGGCAGCCAGGACAAAGGGACTCTGTGGGGCTCGGGCCCCTGGCGGGGCAGGGCCTGGGGCTGCACAGAAGTCCTGCAGGAGGAAAGCAGTGTTAGGAGGGGAAACTGGAGGCTGACACTTGGGGGCGTGGCCTCGCTGGGATGACAACAATATGCCAGGCGGACCGCCACGCATTATGTCCTTTTCCCCTCGTGACAACCCCATCAAAAGGTACCACTATGTTCCCAGCTATTTCAGCAGTTGTGGGGCGGGGAGGCGGAGGCCCAGAGAGGTCCAGGGCCCCACAGCTGCACGGCAGGGTTTCAACTCAGGCCCACTCCAGTACCATCCACCCTGCACCACCTCATGACTGGTCACACTTTGGCTAGACTCAGCGTTTCTACCCTGAGGCCTGTGAGCCCCGCCTCCGGTGTAGACGGGGATCTGGGGCTGGCCGGGGGGGCTCTCCCCGCAGGGATCAGTCCCAGAGACCACCCATAGGGCCCAGCACATGTTTTCCGTGAGCTTCCTGATGACGTCCCGGGGTGGCCAGGAGCAGAGAGTTCCGGGTTCTAGCTCTGGCCCTGACCCCACCAAGCTCTCCATGCTCAGGCCTCGGTGTTCCTTTGCACAAAGCAATGGCCTGGAACCACTCTCCAGCCCTCAGTGTTTGGGGGCCAAGGTGCAGGCAGGGGCCACATGCCCTCTGGCTGAAAACCAAGTAGTTATAAAGCAATCGACCTGTAGTTCCGTCGCCCAGCTGTGGGCACTGCCATTCTCAGCCATTGCCCAGAGCCTGGAAGGGCCCTGCGGGAGGCTCAGAGCCCCTGGGTTCTCAGGGCAGAGGACCTAATCCCCAGCGCAGCGTCACCTGCTCATCCTTGGGGGTGGGGCGGACGCGGGGGCGGGTCTTCCATACTCACCACTCAGTCAGTTACCAGGCTTGTCAACAACTTCTTTACCAAAATAAAAATAACAGCCTTTGTGTTTCCGTGTTGTGGTGTGGGGCTGGGCTGTGGAGCTGGAGACCCAGAGCCGCCGCCCCGCCCCACCCCTGGCCGGGGCAGTGCGGGGCCGCTCCCCTGCTCCTCCAACCCCACTCCCCTGCATCTGCAGGGAACGCACCCGGACAGGTGAAGGAGAGGGCGTTTAGCGGACTCAGAGCCCTGGGTGGAGACGGCGTCCTCAGACAGTGGAGCTGGCTAGGCCCCCTCCCCGGGTCTGGTGGGGGTCTGGGGAGGACCCCGCCCTGGGACGGGGAGCGGAGGGCCCACCTACTTGGTGCTGGATGTAGGCGTGGATTCGCTCCAGCATCCCTTCGCAGCTGTACTCGTAGGGCAGGTAGGGGTCTACCTGTGGGAGAGACGGGCGGACGCATGGGCCAGGAGGAGCCCCGGGCCCCCCCGCACGCAGCTGCTGGGGCCCAGCCATGCCGGGCACTGGGGGTGGAAATCTGGTGCGCCCCGCAAGCCCCTCCCCACCCCATCAACCTGGCCCCTCTACTCTGATCGCTGGCACACCTGCCCGTGGCCCTGGGGGTCATCCCACCCCCTTCCTGCCCCCTTCCCAGCTGCCCTCCCTTTGCCCTAAAGCTCAGCCCCCATCCCCTCCTGGGCTGTGATGCCCGCCCTTCCCACAGCCAGCCCAGATGGACTCACCCTCCCCTCTTAGGTGACACCTCCTCCAGGAAGCCGTCCCTGAGCCCAGCCCCACTCCTGTCACAGGACCACTTTCCTTTGTGGGAGCCTAGAGTTCCTTTGTGTGGAATCAGCACCTGTGTCGTCGTTTCTGATTTATCTCTCGTGTTCCCAGACCCCCCGAGATTCAGGTCCTCGGGTTACAGGCCCCCTTGAGGACTGGGACCTGCCTGGCACAGTGCCTGGTAGGTATACAGTAGGTACTCAGCAAATAGCATCTCCAGCTCTGTCTGTATTCTGCCCAGAAGGTAGAATGTTCACAAAAAGGAACACAGAGGCGCCTCCCGGTCAGGTGGAATGAGATGAATTTGTAGGGCTCCCTGCCCAGGCCAGGCACCCTGGAGCTGCCTGAGACACGAGCCCCCAGGCAGAGGCCACAGACCATCTGTCCTCAAGGGTACAAAGCACCAGGGGTGAGCAGATGGGTTGGGTAGCTGGGGCCCCAGGAGCACGGGGAACCAGGAGAAGCGGTGATAAAGGGGTGTCCGCCTCCTGTGAGCGGGCACCGCCCCCCCCCCACCCGGCCATCTTACCTGACCAGGCCCTCTGTTTACCCCGCCCAGCACACAGCCGCCCTGGCCGGACGGGGACAGGGGGATGGCCCATCCCAGACTCAGAACAGTCTGTTTGGGCCTTCAACCTCCCTCCTCCCCGTGTGTGTGCACGTGTGTGTATATGGTGTGTGTATATGTTGTGCAGATGTATATTGTGTGTATGTATGCGTATCTGTGTGTATGTATATGCACGTGTGTGTGCATGAGTGTGTATATGGAATACAGAGTGCTGTATGTGAGGGGAGGTGTATGTGTGTAGAGGCACACATACGTGTATGTGTATCATATATGTGTACCTGTGTGCTGCATATATCATTGTGTGTTGTGTGTGTATGCATAATTGCATGTGTGTGTGTAATACAGGGTGCTGTTATGTGAATGTGTATACGTGTTGTGTGTATACGTGTACATGTGTGTATATCGTGTATCTGTGTGTGTTGTGTATATGTGTGTGTGCATGTGCATACTGTGTGTATGTATATTTGTGTGTTGTGTGTGTATGCATATCTGTGTGTATGTGCATGAGTGCGTCTGTATATGGGACGCAGAGGGCTGTGTGTAGGGCCGCGTGTAGGGCTGTGTGCGTGTGTGTAGGATGCAGAGCGCTGTGTGTGTATGTGGGGGGGGGGGCACCGCCCTGGCCCAGCCCGACTCTGACTTCTGCCCTTTCCCCGCCCGCAGCTCCAGGGGCTGTGACGGGACGGTTCTGCCCGAGGGGGAGCCGCCTCTGTGCCCCCTTCACAGAGGGCAGCATCAGCAGGACCCGGCGGGTCCCCCTTCCCGTAGACCCCACCCCCAAGGGCTGGGGGCACCCCGGCACTGGGGCTGAGGGGGGCCCCAGGGAGGCAGCAGTGGCTTCCCTTGAAGCGAGTTCAGGCCACCAGAAGATTCTCGGGATGAGCGCCCACCCGCCTGGCCTTGCCCCCACGTCTCCCCGCAGCCGCACGCGAGCACTGCTCTCGCCCCACCTGACCCGCCCTCAGTCCAGGGTTCCCAGCCCCCCAGGGTTCCCAGCCCCCCCGAGATCCAGGTCCTACGCCAGCCACCCCTTCAGAGTCCAGCCTTTGCGGGCTGCGCACGGCCGGCCCCGCCCGCTCTCAGCCCCGGGCCCACGGCCGCCAGGCTCTGGCTGGACACCTCCAGGGTACAAGGCCTCGAGCCCCGGCCAGAGGTACCCCCACGGAGGAGAGCGCCCCCCCCCAGTGCCACTCGGCCTGCGCCCCGGCAGCACCCCTCGCCGAGCCCCCCGCCGCGCTCTGAAGCTGTCACACGTGATCCCCATCAGCCGGCCACGTCCCACCTGCCACGAGTCTCCGCCCGACGAGCGAGCCTGCCTGGAAATTACCCCCATCAGGCCTAATTACAGGTGCTCACGGCAATCCGTCTGGACAGGCTGCCAGGAGCCCGGCCTGCGCTGTAATGAGGGCAGGAGGGAGGACGGGAGGGAGGCGTGGGCAGGTGCCCGCCCTGCCTCACCCTCTCGCTTTGAATGGCCTCCCCTGAGCAGGGAAGTGAGGGGCTGAGGGGCGCTGAGTCTGCGGGGGTGGGGTACGCGTGGGTCTCTCTCACCTCCTCCCAGGCTCCTGTGAGCTGTCCCTAAACCAGTTTTCCAAAATAGGATTAGGACAAATACCCAGGGTGCTTGTTTAAAATGCAGATGCCAGGGGCGTCTGGGGGCTCAGTCGGTTCAGCGTCCGACTTCAGCTCAGGTCATGATCTCATGGTCTATGGATTTGAGCCCCGCGTCAGGCTCTGTGCTGACCTCTCAGAGCGTGGAGCTGCTTCAGATTCTGTGTCTCCCTCTCTGCCCCTCCCCCACTCATGCTCTGTCTCTCTCTCAAAAATAAAATTTAAAAAAAGACATTAAAAAAATTTTTTTAAATGCAGAGGCCAGGGCCATACCCAGTCCTTTAATATCAGAGGCCAGGCCCAGGAACCTGCATTTTAAACACCTCTCTGGTGATCCTTGGGTAAGGGGGTGAACTGCCGGGGCGCAGGCGGGGGCTGGAGGGACCCCCGAAAGGGGCTGAAGGCAGCAGGCGGCAGGTTGGGGGCCCACCTGTCCGTCTCAGCTTGGCAGATCCGCAAAACCTTGGTTCCTGGACCCTTTCGTTATTGTAATTTTTAAATTAACTCATTAACAAAATTAAACAGACGTTCATGTAAAAAACAATCAAAAGGAAAAACCATGAAAAGGAAGTTTTCCTCCTACCCCGGACACCCAGGCCCTTCCCCAGGGCGGCCTCTGTTACCGATTTCTTGTGTTTCCAGCAGGAAAGATGGCGAGAACGGAGGGGCATATTCCCTGCCAGCCCCCCAAGCCCTGCTCTGTCCTGCGGACGGACATGCGCTCCCCACGCTCACTGAGCTTAGCAGTGTCTCCCGCAGGCTGGGCGGGACCCGAGCCCCAGGGGTGGGCTGGCTGGTATCTGTCCACCCCCCCCCCACCCGGCCATCCTCGTCCCCTGGGTTAGAAGCCTTGGAGGATTGCCTTTCAAGGGGAGGGGAGGAGGCTGTGGGGTGGGGTCCCCCCCAGAGGAGCCATCTGCCTTGTTGGGGGCCTTCCCATGCGGCGCCCACCTGCGATGCAGAGTGCGGTCACCGCTCGGAGGTCAGTGTCCGGCAGCACTTCCTTCTGCACTGAGGCCGCCTGGGGAGCCCCTGGCCTACGACTGTCCCTGGCTCGCTCAGCCCTGCGAGGGTCCCCAGGTGCAGCCCTCTGCCGGCGACAGAGGACACTGTGGGATGTCACGTACCCCTCAGGTCTCTTCGCCAGCACGGGGCGCCAGGGGCCAGCTGGGGTGCCCTACTGTATGACACACCGTCTCATCTTGTCCCTCCGGGACCCCCCTTCCCGGGATCGCTTTCCAAATAACCGGCTTGTGCCTCGGGGTCACCTCCTGGAGGAACCCGTCGAAGACGGTCCGTGAGCTGGAGGGACTCACAGCAGAGACTGGCTCAAGCCGATGGTGAAGAACGGAGTGGAGGGCTCCCCGTCACTGCGCGGGGGGTGCCGCGGGCCCGGCCTCCTCCATCACAGCTACAGATGGCGTGGGCTGTGACACAGCTAAGTTCCGGGCACTCTCCTAGACAAACACTCGCCCCAGACAGAAGGAGGGAAGGATGAGGCTGTGGCCAGTGAAGAACAGGGCAGGAGAGGTAGGCGGGCTTTTCTGGGGCCTCTGCGGAGGCGGGACAGAGGCTGGGGGTTCCGCGAGGGAGTGACCGACAGGGGCTATGAAAAAATGCAAGCCACGGGCGTGTGGGTGGCTCGGTCGGTTGAGCGGCCAACTCTTGGTTTCTCAGGTCACGATCTCACAGTTCATGAGATCAAGCCCCAGCTTGGGCTCCTCGCGGACAGCTGGAGCTTGCTTGGGATTCTCTCTCTCCGCCCCTCCCCTGCTCACACGCCCCTCTCTCGCTCTCAAAAAAATAAATAAGCTTAAAAAAAAATGCAAGCCTGCCTCAGGGTCCGAACAACTAGGTGGGACTCTGGGAACAAAGCTAAGCTCATAAGTCCCCCTGAGACACAGCGTCCTCCGTCCTCGAAGATGTGCATCATGTCACTCACTTGCGGTGGCCTCGCCAAGACGAAGGTCTCCAGGTTTGCCCCAGAAGTTCACCCTGAGCAGTGCCCTGGGCCCGGCACCACCCCAGACCTCATTAGAAATGCACGATTTCAGCCCCACCCCGGACCCGCTGAGTCCACAGCTGCATTTTAACAAGATCCCCAGACGACCTGTATGCACATTTACAGTTTGAGACATGCTGTCAGGCCACAAACCCACACCGACAGCAGAGGTCAAAGACCTACTCCTGAAACCACATGCTGGCAGTGCTCACAGGGCTTAGCCTCTGAAGGTGCTTAATACAGGATTCTGGATCCAGGGCCGCCATGTAAGGTTGTGCAGGTTGCTCACAGCACAAAGGCATTTTTTTTTTTTTCTTCCTCCCACCAACTTGAGTTGGTAGGTGTGGACCACCCCGCCCCACATCAAATTTCCCAGCCCAAAGCTTACAAGCCTGAATTCACCAAGAGGGACATCTTTTTCTAAATATGGCTGGGACCCGCGGTGGGGGCTGACAGCGGCCCTGACTAGGTCTGAACCTCACCTGGGTTTTCATGATGGCCTTGATGGCCGCTTCAAACTCCTCCGAGTTGTTGTAGTCGATGGTCCACACGTGGGGCTTGCCGATGAAGCTCTCCGCGTAGGGGTGCTGGGAGAAGAGCTGGCGGGGCACAGAGAGCAGCAGTGTCCCCCTGCACCTGCCTGGCCGGGCCAAGGGGAGGCGCCCCTTCCCCCCACCGCCCGCCATTTGTCCCATGCACCCTTTCGTGCCAGGCCTGTCCCCTTCTTCCGGGAGATGCGGCGACCCCAGGTCAGACCCTCCCCACTCACCTCTCTGGAGGTGGGCTTGCCTCGGAAGAACTCGTGGTTGAGGGAGCTGTGGGGCGGGCTGAAGCGGGCCTGCAGGAAGACGCAGCCGTTGGCGATGGCCTCCAGCGGGGCGGGGCCCTCGTAGGGGAAGCCGAACCCTATGAAGAGCTGAGGAAGGCAGGTGGCACACTGGTCAGGGAAGCCTAGGCACCGCGGCCCGGGGCCCCGGCACGCACCTCCCCCCTCTCTAGGCCTCAGTGTCCCCATTTGCAGAGAGGAGTTTGTGATCCGGTAATATCGATGGCCCGTTCCTGCCCCAGCGGTCTAGGATTCTGGAGAGGAAGAGACCAGAGTGAGGGTCTCAAGCTAAGGAAGCTTCAGACGCACACCTACAGCTGAACCTAAAGAAACATTACTCATCCTAAAAACGTCCATTCAGCAGCTAACTTGTGCCAGGAGTGCTCACAGGGCTGCTCCCCCCACCCCCGGAAGGCAATCAATAAATGATTCTGAATCCAGGGCTGCTGTGTAAGGGTGTTCAGGTTGTTGACTGCACACAGCCGCTACGCCCTCCCGAAATCCACATACACCAATATCCAGCAAGCCTGAGGGAGGATCGGGAGAGGACCTGAATGATCCAGACGCCCTCCGGCCTCAGCTGGCCCCGCCCCCTCAGGGCCCAGCGGCAGCTGCTGCTCCAGGAATACAGCGCAGAACTTCCAGAAGCAGTCAGTCCGCGGAACTCCAGCCAGGACATGCCCTCAGCCTGCCCTAGCATGCCTTCGGCGGCTCTGAAAGCAAGGCCTGGCCCAGGAGTCCCCTGGGCTGCACCGGTACTCAGGGGGTGAGGGGGGCGGGGGGCGGGCTCACCTTGGCCTTGCGCAGCAGCTGCTGGAACTCGGGCTGTGGCAGGAGACCGTGGTTCTTCACGAAGGCCGGGACCTCGGGGGGCCGCTGGCTTTCATAGTACACGGTGCCGTGGATCTCCATGTACTTGCTTAGGATGCCCAGGAACTTCTCCTTCCCCTGGAAGAGGAGGCGCAGACGTGGGAGCCTCACCCTAAACCGTGGAAGGCAGAGCCGTCCACAGAAATGCCCCTGGTCTGGAAGTCAGAAAATGTGGAGCCATGGACCTGCTGTGTGGCCCCGGGCAAGGCCCCTGCCCTCTCTGGTCCTCCTCGTCCGATCTGCCAGCTGCAGCGGTTGCCCTAGACTGGAGAGGCTTCAGGACTACTTCTGGCCATGGAAATGCATCCAGATGAAGGTGCTTGGTGTCCCCTGAACCCCTGATGACCTCTAAGAACATCTGAGGAGCTGGGGGGGGCCAAGGTCATCTCCTCCGTCCCTCGATCCTCCCACCCAAGTGTGCCTCCATCCCTCCATCTATCCGCTCATCCCTCCTTCTCTGTCTCCCTCTGTCTCCCACCCATCGGCCAGCCATCCGGATAGCACATTTTATCGAGCACTTGCTATGTGTTGGTACTGAGCTCAGCACTGAGCACACAGCAGGGAGAAGACCGGGCCCTTGTCCTCAAGGAGGACACCTGGGTGTGAAAACCCCCCAAACTAGCCACGGCTCAGCCCCACCAGACGCGAGTCCCACATCCAGGCTCTGCTTTCGATCTGGAAACGGGCCCGGCCCGAGGGGAGGGGGCCAGGGCGCAGAGGAGTAGGTACGAGCTCAGCCACTGGGCACCGTCGGACCCCATGGCCAGGGCCCGGAGCCAGGAGGTACGGGCAGTGCGGGGCCTCATCAGGGGTGAGCAAGGGATCGGCCCCTGGGCTCTACTTCTTGGGGGCTTTGGAGACTCACAGGAGAGAGGAAGGAACTTCACAACCACAGGGAAGGCCGGGCCAGGGAGGGGTTCTGTTCAGGGAGGGCAGGTCCTCAGCAGGCCCGGGTCAGAAACAGAAGCCCGGCTCTGTCTGTCCTGCTGTCTAGCCGTGAGGTCAGACAGCAAGGAGCTTCAGCCCAGGGTTAGTCTTGTAACCGCAGCTCTTGAAGAACGCTCTCAACGGACGTTCACATTGACAGTTCACGTTTTGAAACTCCAGCTGCAGACACTGTTCGCAAGGAAATCGCTTCCTCTCCGGGCGACGGTGCGGTGGGGAAAGCGGAGGCGCCCTGCCTCTGAGCCCAGCCAGGAGAGGTGCGGAAACCCGAAAACGTCCGCGAAGGCGGTGAAAAGCTAGCAAAGCAGGAAGAATGACAAGGCCACGATCTGGGAGAAGAAGGGCAGGAGACGGCTGAGGTGGGTGCCGCGACCAGGTGTGCCCGCAGGGGCACCTGCCGACTCCGGAGTCGGCATCCGGGGGGCCGAGCCGAGCTCCTGCTCACCTCGTCGAGCTGGGGGACACGTCAGAGATCGGGGGCTGCCAAAGTTGGGCCGGGGGGCCTGGTGGAAACTCGGCACTTTGGGTTGGAACTCTGAGGAATTCCACGCTGGGAGGGAGGGTGGGCCGGAACCAGAGCGGCCCCTAAGGGGCTGAATCACCGTCATCGAGTCCGGCGATCTGAGATTGCTGGGGCCCGAGCCACGGCCAAGAGTAAGAGTACAATGCTGTCTGCAGGAAGAAGGCGTCGTCCTTGACCTCAAGTTATTGCTACAGTTTTTTTATATTCATTTCCAGAATGAAGGAGGAGGAAGAGGAAGAGGAGGAAGAAGAAGAGGTGGGGGGAAGGAGGAGGAGGCGAATCACCCCCCTCCCCTCCCCTCCCAGTGAAATCCCAGTGAAAACCCCAGCAGGCTTAGAAGAAACAACTTCTCAAGAGAGGAACGTGGGCAGATGTATATTACCTGATTTCAAGCTTATTGTAAAACTACAGTAATCAAGGCAGCGCGCCATTGGCATCAAGATAGACAGACAGATCAATGGAAGAGAACAGAGTCCAGAAATAGACCCACACGTGCACGGTCAATTGATTTTTTACAAAGACGCAAAGGCGTTCCGGGGGAGGAAGGATCCTTTCTTCAGCCAGTGGTCACGGAACATTGCGTACCCACACGCAGAAAAAGAAAAAGAATTAGAACTTTAATCTGTACTTCACATCATACATAAAAGTTAATTCACAATGGATCATGGACTTAAATGTAAAACCTAAAACCATAAAACACAAGAGAAAACTCTTTGTGACCTTGGGTTAGGCAAAGAGTTCTTAGCTATAACACAGAAGCATAATCCATAAAACACTGGACTTCACTAAAATAAAGAACTTTGCTCTTTGAAGAAGACCGGCCTCAGGCAGAAAATATTTGCCAAGCATGTATTTGATAAAGGACCGATACTTAGAATGTGTAAAGAACTTTAACAACATGGGGCGCCTGGGTGGCTCAGTCGGTTAAGCGGCCAACTTTGGCACAGGTCATGATCTCGCGGTCTATGGGTTCGAGCCCCGCGTCGGGCTCTGTGCTGACAGCTCAGAGCCTGGAGCCTGCTTCGGATTCTGTGTCTCCCTTCTCTGCCCCTCCCCTGCTCGTGCTCTGTTTCTGTCTCTCTCTCAAAAAATAAATAAATAAACATAAAAAATTTTAAGTAAATAAAATAAAATCTTAAAACATATCCTCTTAATACATAAAGGTCCTTTGCTATCTATAGTTTCTGTTATTTCTATTTCATTTTAAAAGGCTATATGAGGGGTGCCTGGGTGGCTCAGTCGGTTAAGCATCCGACTTCGGCTCAGCTCATGATCTCATGGTTCGTGGGTTTGAGCCCCGTGTTGGGCTCTGTGCTGACAGCTCGGAGCCTGGAGCCTGTTTCAGATTCTGTGTCTCCCTCTCTCTCTGACCTTCCCCTGCTCATGCTGTCTCTCTCTGTCTCTCAGAAATTTAAAAAAATAAAAAAATAAATAAAGGCTACGTGAGACTTCCTATGTTAGAAAAAGATAAACATGGCACGATCTCCCTTATAAGTGGAATCTTAAAGAAGGGAGCTCATAGAAATAGAGTGTAGAGTGGTGGCCGCCGGGGGGCTGGGGGTGCAAAATTAGGGAGAGGCTGGTCAAAGGAACACGCTTTCAGTTGTACAGAGAGTGAGTTCAGGGACCTCATGAGCAGCGTGGTGACTATGGTTAGTAATACTGCAGAACGTACTTGCCATTTCTGAGAGAACAGATCTTTAGTGCTCTCCCCGCCCACCCCGTGCGCACACACACACGCACACACAGCTGACTATGTGAGGTGATGCCGTGTTAACTAGCTTGATGGTGGCCTTCCTTTCCCAACACATATGTCTATCGGGCCATCATGTTGTACATCTTACAAAAACACACTTTTCCCTTTCCATCATTTCTCAGGGACGCTGAGCGGAAAAACCCCAGAGCTCTGAGCTAATTTCACGATTTATTCGTGGGTCCCAACCTGCCGTCTGAAAAGGCCCCCCCAACTCCTGCTCCCTGGGCTACACACTCTCACGAAATAGCACTCAGGCCAGAGCCTCAAGCCATGCTTTCTGGGCACCCGGAATAAGACGGGCCTCCTGGGCACAAAATCCACCCAAGTGCTTGTCCCGATCCCAGCTGCTGCTCCCAAGAGGAGGCGAGGGCCCCCATCAGCCCCCTCCCCCACGCCTCTGCCACCTGCTCCCCTGATCCCTGTGTGTCTGTCCCAGGATGCCCTTGTCATCCTTCTTGTCCGGACACCTCCGACTCCCCTCAGCCACGGAGACCAGAGCCAAGATGTCTTTTTTGGGAAGCGGCTTCTTTGAGGTCCCTCGCAGAACAGCGTGGCTCCCGGCTATCACCGAGGCGCCTGAGCTACAGATAAAGCCTTTCTCTTCCCAGACTTCATCACCTCTCATCTCTTGGGGCAGATCCCTGGCAGCGTTTTCTGGGAGGAGCAGATGCAGTCTGTGCTACACCCCCCCCCCCCGTCCTGAGCACCCCCGGGGCTCCCGCCGCAGCCTGCTCACTCAGCATCACATGAGAATGACCTCCCATCCCTCCCGCTACACCCCGTAGGGGTCAGGGGAGGGGGGTGACCTATTGAGAACCTATAGAGGGGCAGGAGGAGAGCCTGTGGCCAGTGGTCACCGTACCTGGAGCTGCCTCATAGCCAGGGGGGCACCGAGGAGAGAGGAGAGAGAACAGGTCAGTGAGCAGTGAGCACACGACCCCCCCAACCCCGCCCGGGGACCGCTTCCCCAGGACCCCCGCCCTGAAGGTGGCGCTCTATTCCCTGCCTCTCCTGCCTTCCGCACTCGGGCCTCCCACCCCGCAGAGGCCCCCTGGCCCGGATCACAGTGTTTATCCATCTGTTCCTGGGGACGGCGGCGGCTAAGTCACAGTCCTCAATAAAGGAATCTGAGACTGTTGCACAGCAGAGGCCGAGGGGGGCAGGTTCACAGCCCCCAGGCTGGGTATCTTCAGTGGCGATTAGGGACCTCTGTTTTCTGTCCCATCAGTGGGAGCATTTCTGCATCAAGAGCTGGGGGGGGGGGCTTCCGGGGAGGAGTAGGGTGCTCACCTTCCAGATACTGGCCTCCTTGCCGTACACCACGGCCACGTTGCTGGCCTTGCCGCCTCTGATGAGCTGTTTCTCCGTCTCGTTGAGCTCCTCAGACACGAAGCCCATGAAGGAGTTGTCCGGGGTGTGAGCTGCAGGCAGACCACGGGGTCGGGAAGGGGCCGGCCACGCAGCCACGGCCGCGCCCCGGGTCCACCCGCAGCGGCCCCGTCAGAGGGGGCCCCGTTAGACAGGGCCGGGGACAGGGGGCTGGGAGGGGAGGGGAGGGGGTGGTGGAGGAGGGGGAGGGGCAGCCATCAGTGTCCTGGCCCCGGGTGTCTCCCACTCCCAGAGCCTGGAGCGGAGGGAACACTCGGAGGTCCTCTGGCCCCTTGCTCGTGTGTGGACAGGCAGGCAGGACCCTGTGCTGGTCAGAGCCCTCCCTCGGAGGCTGGCTCAGGCCCAAGGCTTTGGCTCCTCCCCTTTTCTCTCACTGCTGCCGCCCATCAGTCACCCAGTGGGACGTCGTCCCCCATGGCCTCCGTCGTTGTCTCTGTCCTGGGCCGCTGTGGCCGCTGCCCATCCCCGATTCTGCCACTCTCTCGGCACTGCCTCTTCTCCTGAGCAATCCTTCCAAATTTAGGTCAGACCCGGTCCCTCCCTGCACAAAACCCGACGGTGGCCCCCAGAGCCAAAGTGCCTACAGCAGTCTCCAGTGTCTGCCTCCATGCGCACCCCCCCTCCTCTTACTACCTCCTGTGACCTGCGGGCACGCTCCCTCTCTCCGTACAGGCTTTGCATACCCGGCCCTACGAGAGGTCCTTCCTGGCCCCAAAATTGATATTATACAACAAACCGATGGTTTATCAGTGTCAGAACATAAGCCCCCTGAGGGCAGGGGCTGGCTCTGTTTTGCTCACTGCTGCACCCCCGAGCCTGGCGCACTGGGTCCTGAGCTTGATGGTGCATCCTGACCCCCCCCCCAAGTTTTTGCTCCTGCCATTTCCCCTGCGCGGGGTGCCTTCCTCCTTTTACTTGGATGAGAAGACGCCCTGCAGCCTTCAGGGCCCCATTCGAAGGCCACCTCCTTCTCCGGCTCGGGTGCCCCCCCCCCGTGCCCCCCCCCCCCCCCGTGGGTCCGTCTCTGCTCAGGTACAGCCCACGCGCTGGCCTGCTCACTTGTCTGCAGAACCCAGCGCACCCACTGGGTGGGGGGGGGGGCGCGGACGCACTTCAGCCCCCCTCTCTCTTCCTCGGTCACGCTACTTAGCTGTCAGCCACGGCTCGCGTGCCACAGATTTGCAAGGCGCAGGGCCCCTCCCACCGTGTACAGGACCTCGGATAGAGTATTTGTTGACCCCAATGACATCCACTCCGCCTTCCCGGGTGGGAGGGGCCGCGGGAGCAGGTTGGCAGAGGCCACGTGGTTTCGCAGCACAGCCCTGACCCCGAAGAACCTATTTCTTCATTCCACGGGCGTGTTTTCACATTTTAGCACTTCTGACACGGAGGCGGATACTTCGAGCAAATGTGTAGATTTAATGCACTATTTCTGGACGTTATTCCCGCAAACCGCCATAATCGATGTCAGGAGCACCGTAGGAGAAAGGTGTCCTGCCTAAGCGCCCCCGGGGAAGCTCATGGACTCTTGGGTCTGGAAGTGTGACGGGAAGGACGGGCCTTTGCTGACCGCAGGACAAAATGATCTTTCTTCTAGAGCTTGCGGAGCATAAGGAGAAGTCCTGAGGCCTGGAGTTATTCCTGTGAGGGTCAGGATCCGGGCTCCGACCCATTTGCCCGCCCGGCCCCAGCCCCTCTCCCTCCCCCTGGCCCCACCTGGGGCCTCTCTCCATTTCCTCACCCAGCTGAAGAATCCCTCATTCTACCAACTCTGCCCAGTTAGCAAACTAGTGGGACAGGAAGTATCCAACCAACTAAAGTAACAGACACCATCAAGTAAAGAGCTCGGGGGTGTCAGGGGTGGGGGGCAGGGGGCAAAGGCAAGCCCCAGAGAGGCAGCCACCCTCCCGCCTAGCTCACTGGGGAAACCACCTGGCTAGATGGGGAGCCAAGTCTGCTCAGGAATTCCTCCCCAGACTTGGTGTATCATTAAAACTGGCAAGCCCCTCTCTTCCTTTTTCCTTGTGTTTTTAATTTATTCCATCAATTAACATTTTCTGAGGACCCTGATAGGCTCCAGGGAGATAAATCAGTCAGTGGGGCCCCCTTTTGAGTGGTTCATAATCTATCAGAGAGAAATAAATGTATAAGCAAATAACTCTAATAAACTTCAATAAACACTTTGTAGAAATGGATTTAAAAGTTACAAAAACAGGGGCACCTGGGTGGCTTAGTCGGTTAAGCGTCTGACTTTCACTTAGGTCATGATCTCGCGGTTCGTGGGTTCGAGCCCCGTGTCGGGCTCTGTGCTGACTGCCAGCTCAGAGCCTGGAGCCTATTTTTCAGAGTCTGTATCTCCCTCTCTCTCTGACCCTCCCCTGCTCACACTGTCTCTGTCTCTCTCTCCTAGAAATAAATAAAAATATTTTTTTAAAAAAAGTTACAAAAACAGAGGTGCCTGGGTGGCTCAGTTGGTCAAGCGTCCAACTTAAGCTCAGGTCATGATCTCACAGTTTGAGTTCGAGGCCCGCATCAGGCTCTGTGCTGACAGCTGGGAGCCTGGAGCCTGCTTTGGATTCTGTGTCTCCCTCTCTCTCTGCCCCTCCCCCACTCAACACTCTGTCCGTCTGTCTCTCAAAAATAAATAATAATTAAATTTATTAAATTATTAATAAATAAATTAAATAATTAAATTTAAAAAATCTTTAACTAAAAAATAAAAATTATAAAAACAGGTGTATATAGCACACCTGGAACAGACGAGGGAATCAAGGAGAGTGATAATAAACAAAGGAGACATTTGAGTTGGGGTTTTAGAGGATGCGTAGGAGTTCACCAGGTTTGGAACTTCATATCCAGTGGGACCCACCCCCACATAAATCCTCATTTTCTCAGTGTAGATTATTGCAGAAGCCTCTTAACCCACTTCCTGCTTCCTCTCTCCTCGACCACTGCCCCTTTGGCTGCCTGCCATCTCCCAGAATAATGTTGCTCAAAGCCTTTCTCTCTCCATGACATTCCCTAGCTCAGGAATCTACAGCGATTCTTGAATTACGGCACCCAGCGTAAATTCAGGAGCCCGTGCTAGAAGGTTCCATCCTCTGCCTCCAGATTTTCCACGTCCCTCTTACCAGCCTCGTATCTTCACGCTTCCCTCTAAGGGAGCTAACTGCTCAGCCTCTCCATCCACCTCTGCTGTCTGCGATCCCATAGGCTGCTTCCACGGCCTGGAGTATCACCACCACTACCCCCACCTCCTTTCCCTCCAGAGTCTGGTCCCCACAGAGCCATGCGACCTCAGACCTCTGGGCCTCAGTTTCCTCCTCTGGGCTCCAAGGAGCCCTCCCACCTTCCCAACCTTCTGGGATCCAATCAAGCCATTACTTAGGTGTCGAGAAATGGCATCTGCCACTAGTGTGTCCCAGAACCTAGAGATTAAGACAAAAAAAGGACCCTAAGTGCCCCCAAAGAGGTGCGTTAGTTCAGCAGACTAAATAAATACTGGGTCCTTTACCTCTAAGCAAGTTCCTTGGGACGCTGCTCAGAACCTAGTTTGCTTTTAATTTCAATACAGCCTGACAAAGGTGCTTCTCTGGCTCTCTGACCCAGAGCCTTCAAAGCGCCACAAATTAGCTGCGCAAGACGTTGGAGGCAGACGTACTGACGACAATTAAATGTGACAGCTGAGAGCTTCCCATCAGCGACAGAAGGGGCTGCTTAGCGAGGGGACCTAGCTCCGTGCACCTCTGCCATCCCCGAAGGGCAGGCTCGAGCGCCAGAGCCAGAGAGAATTGACCCTTAGTTGTCAAGAACAGATTAAATTATTTTCACCACGCTGCATGAAAGAGGGCAAGTCCGCGTGTGTATATATCTTAGAGGCTCATTAAAAATAGCTAAAGCTTAGCTCTAACCGCACTCCTTGCCTGACACCCACTGTTCAGAGGGTTTCCACAGGGGCCCCAGCCCCCAGCCTTACTTCCCATTATCCCCCATGTTGGAGCCTTCTGGAACCTTCCGGAACCTTCCAGTTCTTTCCACATCTGCCTTGGCTTCATCTGTTGCCTCCACTTAGAAAAGCCTGCCTGTATTGCCCCTTTGCCACCCCCTAAAGGTCCCCAGGGTACTTTCGGGCTCTTTCTACAAGGTCACCCAATCCTTGTTGTTTTGGAATGTGTGCTCGGCAGCTCTCTGAAAGCAGCCGTGATTCTGGAGGCAAAGGCCACGTCCTCCATGTTAGAAAGGTCACCATGTTTCTCCCAAGCCAGGCTGGAAGCCCTCGCCCCCACCCCCCGCCCCAAGGCGGTGCTTCCTGCTCCCCAGAAGCCACAAGGCACTTCCTCTCTGGCTCACACATTTGCTGGAGGGGGAGCAAGGCTTTCGTGGGGCCTGCCCCCCTCCCGCGCTGGCCCGGGGAAGGAAAGCCAGGGAGGAACGTGAGACCCTGCCTCCTCCCATGCACCCGAGAACCATGAGGAGGCCCCAACCGCCCCTGACCCCCCACCCTCTCCCCCACCCCGCGCCCGGGACACTCACGGAACATGGTCATGAACTGCTTGGGGTTGAGGTTCCAGTAACCCCAGTTGGTCCGGTAGCCGTGCAGCGTGGCGTATTCCTCATGGTTGTACGCGGGTTCTGTCCCGAAGGTGTCAATGACCCGGATTCGGCATCTGCTCCCCGCCCCGGGGTGGGGGAGGGGGGTACCAGGAACCAAGGTCAGCCACCTCCGGGGTCTCCCTGGGCTGGGCCGCCCCAGCATGGGCACCGTAACCAGCCAGTGCCTGGGCGCTGCTGCAACGTGTGGTCAGAGCTTGGGCTCAGACGTCACCTAGCTGTGTGACCCCAGGCAAGCGCCTTAACCTTTCTGGGGGAGCTGCACCATCACTCAGGCGAGGAAAACAAGAGCCCAGCTGTCTCGGGGTTGTGTGAAGCATGGACCACTCACTCAGGAACTGTTCATTATTTCAGCTGCCCTGAGGGAGCCTGGGGGCGGGGGGTCATCTGTAGGATTTGCACTTTCCTGAGCAGGGAGCAGCCAGCAGTCATTTGAGTACACAGCCCCCCTGCCCAGGAGCCTGACACCCCCAGGATGAGCCTGGCCTATCCCGGCTGCAGTGCAAAAGGGCAAGGGACCAGCCACTGACATTATCCCCAATGCTGGAGCATACTGGAACCTTCCAGAACCTTCCAGTTCTTTCTGGGGAAAGCAGTGCAAGCTTGGCCACTTCAGGTGCACCTCCCAGCCGGGCGGAGGCTCTGCTGTGGCCCCCAAACCTCCCCCTCCGTCCCTCCATCCCACCCGTGGGCATGGGCACCGGAAGGAGACTGCTGAGACTCAGACACCCCTCCAGGAAGCTGCCTCACCCCACATCCTTCCCGGTGACCCAGAATTGTCCACAGACTGCTGAGGTCGGCACTATTCCCTCAGAGAAGGGCCCGGGGGAGGGAGGTAGAGGCACCGAGCACATGAAGAACACGCATTAATAATAAAAGCAATAACACTGCCTGTCACTTTTTTTTCCCCTAATAAAATCATGCGGGATAGTCAATGGGACTGGAGCAAATGTAATAAATAGCAGGACTCTCTGTGCTAAATTAAACCCCGTATCCTGCTGGCTGCAGACGGGGAGCTGGAGCGATGGCATTGGCCTTCCTCCAAACCCAGGTGGAGGGAGGGAGGGAGGGAGGTGGAGGGGTGCTGAGCCCCCACAAGCCGAGGTCGAGGTCACCGCCCCAGTGGAGCGTCCCACCCTTTCTGCTCCTCCCTGCAATTCCCCTACCCGCCCCCACCCTTCCCTGCACAGAGGGGCAGTGAAGTGAGTCCCCCACTCTGAGTATTAATTGTCTGAGTGAGGCGGGAGGCAGAGCTCCTTCAAGAAGGGCAGTGGTGGGGGAGGGGGAGACAGAGGCAGGGCGAGCCTTCCCCCACCGCAGGCCCAGGGACCAAGCAGTCCCCCCACCCTGGGACCAGCGTCCGCACCTCCTGCCCAAGCTCTCTCACCGATACTTCTTGAAGGACAATCCCATGTGCTGCTTCATCTGCTGCAGGCCGTGGTAGTCGGTGTAGATGAGGTCGAAAGGCAGGGGCATGGTGAGCGGGCAGTTCCCCCGGCCTGGCGGCACCCCTAAGTTACTGAGAGAAGAGCCCTTCAGAGCCTGAGCCCCAAGAGGGACCTACAGGCAGCAGAAACCCACTTTCCCAACCAGCCCTGAGCCTGGGGCACTTGGAGCCACCCCAGTTCTCACAGCCCAGGATAAACATGGGGAGGGGGGCACTGTAAAGTGAGGCTGGAAAGGAAGTGAACAGGGTGGCCACGTACAGTCGTCTAAGTTTTCCACTGCACAAGAGACCCCAATGGGAGGAAACAGGACTGAGATCCAGCCTGGCCCGTGTCCGCCTGTGTCTGCCCAGAGGGGGCACCTTTGTCTAGCATTCACAAAGGGCCATTGTTGCCCACTGTGGTCCTCAAGGCGTCTTCCGCATTTGGAGCAGAAGGCCCTGCCTCAGAATATATAATGCAGCTCCATGGACTGGTTCCTGGCCCACGGAGGTGCCCAGCCCTGCCCCTCAGGGTCACCCTGCCGGCCAGATCATTTACCCAGGAGTTTTCCTCTGGTGACCCAGTGCCAGTGTCACCGGGGCCCGGAGGACACAGCCACAGCTGCCCGTGTAAAATCTTGACATCGGACTTCCCTGCCCACATGCAGAAGCCCCAGCTTAGCCTGAAAACCCACCCCTCTGCAGGGGACGGGGAGGCATTTAGATTGCTCATTCGGTAGGTCTGTGCCGAGCTCCTGAGCAGGCCTGGAGTGGAAAAGCCCCCCTTTCTTTGGGGATCCCACGGCAGTCACCCACCTCCCCCAGATTCCCACTCCCCCCTTGGATGCGTGGTCCAGATGCCTGCACTGGAAGGGGCCCAGGAGCCTCCCGGCGGGCCCCCTCAGGGAGCCACGTGAGGAGCAGACCCAGACAGGGTAGGTGAGGAGCTTCAACAAGGTCACTGGCTCATCAATGGCAAAGGGCCACGATTGACGAGCTCCCTGGGCACATCTTGGGCTCCTAGAGCCAATTCAAGCCAGGCGGAAAAGTACCAGCCTGGACATCTTTGTGCTCTTCGCTCATGCTCTGCGCGTCACCATCGGAAGCTGGGGAGGGGGACGCTGTGCACAATGTTCCCTGTGCACACTGACGGAAGTGGCATCTTTTCAATGACGTTTACGGTAACTGATGACAAGGCCCTGATGGAAAATGCCAGGGGAGGCTGCATGTGACGGGCATCGGGGCATCAGGGGTCGGCTGCGCCCTGCAGAGAAGGGCAGCAAGAAGCAGGGGTGGGGGCTCTTCCGTGTGCCTGCTCCCCCCCCCACCAGCCAGTGCACCCCAGCCTCACCCAGCTTCCCCTGCTAAGTGCCCAGAGGAGAATGCACAAATCTAATACCCAGTGTCTTGTTTCTCATCCGTATACGAAACAGTGGCCAAGGGCTCCCTCCCTCCCTGACTCGACCAGCTCCCACTCGACTCCTCCTCCAGCTGGGCCACCACACTAAGATTCTCAAAACCAGGACTTCTGAGGCGCAGCAGCCTTCGTAAGCTTCCGTCATCGTTGTCGAAATACCCAGAAAGCACAGGAGAATGAGCACAGACCGCAGGGGTCTGGAGCCATCACAGGAAACAGTTCCCGCAGCCTGGAGACCTCATGAAATATTTGGTGGTATTTTTCAGCGTGGAGCAGATTTCTGCCTTCCACTCTGCGGACAGCCTGTGGTTTCCTTCCAAGCTCGGGTTTTCTCTCCCCCCGGCCCCCCAAAACCTCCCCCAGTAAACCTGATGCCCCAGGAAGGAGCCTCCCCTGCCCTCAATGGAGAGCCACGGGCAGAAGGACAAAATGGTGAGCCCTCTGTCCCTTCCTTGCAGAAACCAGGGAGGCGGGGGCTTCTCCTCCCACATGGAATCGGGGCCTCGGAGAATTAACGAACAATCCCGAAAGTAGGAGCCATGGTGAGTCCGGCCGCTGCTACCTGCATGGGAAGAAGATTACCACCCCACGTCACATCTGCCGTTGGTTTCTAGGCAGCGTGGCCCTCCGTGGCTGTGCGCGCTGCCAACAGAGTCACGGGGGCTTCCTTTGGTGGCCCCGCCACCGACCACAGCCCCGGCCCCCCCCCCAAGCACCACGGCCACTGGGGGGCCAGCTGAGCCGCACCCAGCTCTCCCCTGGGAGAACGACTCTGAGCTGTATTCTAAGGCACACGCGTCATCACCTTCGCCACTTGGGGGGCTAAAGTTTCGAACAAGGAACCATTGTGCATGCTCTCGGCTTATTAATTCATTAAATCCTTTCCTCTGGGCAGCTACCCTATGAGATCAGACTCATCCTTATCCCGCTCCCCTCTTTCTAGGCTAGGAAAACAGAGAGGCTGAGTAATTTACCCAGGGCTGCACAGCCAGGAGGCAGTGGGGCTGGGGTTGGGAGCCGGGCAGTGGGGCTCCAGAGCCCACACTCCCGCCCGCGGAGCTCTCCCGCGTCTCCAGCACGGTGGCCGATGGCCGGACCACAGTGACATCCCCGAAATCCGAGCCCCGGCTGCCAGCAGAGATTGGGCTCCAGTCCCAGCTCTGTTGCTAACCTCGGGGGAGTCACAGTCCTCTAGGAATTTCATTTTTCTCCTCAGGAAAAGACAAATAAAAATGCCTCGCTCCCAGGGTTCCTGGCAGGATCAACAGAGGTGCGGTGAGTGGAGGTGACGCTAACGATTATTTCTCCTCATCTGCAGTTCTGCCTTCGTCCTCGTGGGTCCGGCGACTCCATCCCAAACCGCACACAGGCCCCTCGCTGAAGGGCCCGTCACCTCTCAGCTCGAATCCTGAGATTCTCTCTCTGCTCTGTGTCTCTCCAGGCTTGTCTCTCTTCTAGAGGGATCTTTCCACACTGTACCCCTGGTTCCAATCCCTCCCAGAAGACCTCTCACTTCCTGGTCCTTGCCTCCTCCTCCAGGAAGTCTTCCTTGGATGCCGCGCCCCTGTGCTCCCCCACCCCTTGCTTCAACCCCCGCCGCTCTGCACTGTCCTGAGTCCCCTCCTTACACCCGGGGCCAGACATCTTTGAAAGCCCGGAGCTAGGACAGCGCCTGTCCCAATAAGCATCTGCTGTGTTCAGGAATGAATAAACAAACCAATGAAGAATTGGTTGAAAGGTTGAAAATTTGGCCAAGGAAAGCATGTCCGGAGAGGGGTGCCGGGTGAGGGGAGCCCAAGGGTTCCGGGCACCTCAGAGCGGTAAGAAGCACCCCACTCTTCTGAGGGGTGAGCAGTCTCCCGGGACACCCCGGGGCCCACACTAGTGGACCCATGTGCCCTACAAGTGTGCAAGCCATCCCGCAGGAAGGAGAGGAGGAGAGACAAGCTGGCCCAGAGACGGCAGCACCCCCCTCCCAGGAGGAGTTAATGAGGGGCCACTCAGTCTCCCCAGCCATTTCTAGAAAACAAGGGTTTTCAATTTAAAGGGACTTACTTCCCCTGGAGAGAAGTGTCTGTGGCTGCTCATTGGCCCCAGGGACTCAGAGCCCGCCCGGAGGACAGCGGAGAGGGTCAGCCCCGGCTGGGGGGTGGGAGACGACTATGGTTTCATCACTTATCATTTAAGTTCGCCTTTATGGGCAATTTTACGCTAAGTGGTTGGTCGGAGCAATGACATGAATTGAAAACCGTGGTCTCCTGACAGCCTTTCAGCCAAAGGTGCTCACAGCTCTGCAATTCCACCTTCCGTGGTGAGCGCTCCTCAAAACCCCCTGCCCGGCTGTTTCCTCGTTTCCAATGCCAAGCTCCTGATTCTTCTACGGACTCTTAGCCCAGGGCTGTGTCAGTGGGGAGAGGGGAGGTCACAGAGCCTCCCCACCCCCCAGTGCACCGAGGGGCGCCTGGCTGGGTCAGTCTGTTAGGAGAGGCAGTGTCTTCCCGTGCAGGGACTTGACACGCATCCATCCACGCAGCGCCTCTGGCCCCACCCACTACCGTCCACAATGCTCGGGACGGTGGGGGAGTCTCCGTGGAATTGCCAAATTGGGTGGCTGGAATATATTTCTAAATGTCCCCAGGCCACCTGAGCGGGAGCCTGGATACAGGATGAAAGGGGCACAGGAAGGGAGTGATTTCGGGAAATGAAGCTTTTCTATAGCTCGCCTGGCCATCATGGGGCCCCCACGCCCCACCCAAATGAATCCACCCATAAAAGCCTGCAGGGGGCGGGCGGTGGGGAGTTCGTGTTTAATGGCGACAGAATTTTCAATTTGGGAAGATGGAAAAGTCCTGGAGAAGGACGGCAGTGATGGTTAGATGACCTTGTGAATGCACTTGATAGCACTGAACCGGGTACTTCAAAATGGTTAGGATAGCAAATTTTGTTATGTGGTTTTGCTACAATTTTTTTAAAAAGCCAAACTGTTCACACTTGAGGGACCACGCCATGCCCAGGCCTTTGCCTCCCGGCAATGCCCGGCCCCCACCTTCCCCAGCTCCCCCCAGACTCCCAGCTGGCCCTAATGTAGGGGCACAGCAAATATTCACAGAAGGGGAGACTCAGTAGGTGGTACGGAGGGCCAGGGGAAAAAATAATCTATGCCCAATTGGAAAAAAAAAAAAAAAAACCAACATCCTCAGCTGGGAATCGAAATGCTGAGCTCTGGATCAGTGAAAAGTGCCCCTGGGGGTGAGCTCCAGCACAAACTTGAACTTGCTGGGTGATGTTGCCCAGACCTCAGATCGTCCTGGCGTCCGCCTCCACCCCCACAGCTCGGACTGATCTCTGCGATCCCTTCTAGGCTAAAAATTCTCTGGTTTTATTCCTCTCTGTGCCTTTGGTCTGTGGCTGGAAATAAACTCTCCAGGTTGTGCTCACATTCTGGCGCGGTCCACCCTCCCTCCCTCTCTTCTCTGTGTGGGAGGGACCTAATTAAAAAGAATGCTCGCCAAGTGATCGGAAGTCCCAGGTGCTAAGTGCACACAGGTAACTTCTGCTTTTCTAGACCCTTCTCGCTGCTGAGAGCACACTGGCCCGGGCAGGCCAGGACTCTTCTGCCTCCCGGGGGGCCTGCGATCCCTCTGCTCCGCCTGGTGCCCGTCTCCTGACACTATGG